CCCCAAAACCCCAAAACCCCAAAACCCCAAAACACACTTTTATTCCTTATAAAATATAATGAACATGACAGCTTCACCTGAACACCCTTCTTTGGGTTTACAGAAGAAGAGAAAGGGCAAATGGACTGGGGAGGATTTACAGTTGAGGGTTCTTGATGTAGACCAGATGTTGGATGAGGCAGGGGGGTTGGAGAGATGGAACTGGGCGTTTGTTGGTCTTGGGGTTTTATGGGCGGGGGTAGCCAGTCAGGGGTTTACGATGTATGGTTACAACTCCCCTCTTCTTGAGCTCGTGCCAAAACTCGAATGCAAGCAAGACGATCAATGGGTTGAGTGCAGAAAGCAAGACATTTGAATAAATAATCAGATGATTGACAGGTAATTTTAATATTTTTGTGCCGTTCTGGGTTTAAATGTAATAATTCTGTCTTTGGGAATCGAAAGTTAATGAATATTATAGCTAGAAATTGTTACTCTTGTGGTCATTTTTGATTAATTTGTTGCTTATAGCGAACTTTGGCGTCCTGATTTTACAGACAAATTCTCTTTCAGAAACTGGATGACAGAGTTTCAGCTGTACTGTTATCCAGATTTTTGGATTGGGCTTTTGGGGTCAGTGTTCTTGATTGGAATAATCTTAAATGGAATAGTTCTTAAGCAAGCAGATTACTTTGGAAGGAAGAGCATGTTGATATATACATCAATCGGCCACATTATTCTATCTATGGCTATGTTCTACTCAACCAACATTTATGCTAACTATGTAATATTGTTCTTTGGAGGAATGTTGTACTCTAAGAACTATCTTGCATATATCTACTGAGTTGAAATTACTCCTGAGAAGCACAGAATATTTTTTGGATGCATTTTACTCACATTAGAAGCAATTCTGCCAAGAACATCGGCTGTCTTATATCTTTATTTTGCCGATCCAGGTAAGAAGCAATAGTAGTTGTTTGAAATCTAAAATTATGAGAGTTAGTGTAATTTTTGGTATTATTTCAAAGCTTTATTTCTCAATCGAAATCCACTTACTTTGAATATAGAAGGAAGAGATCTTAACAAATTCCATATTCTTGCCACAGTGTTTTCGTTGCTCTCTTTGGCTTTATGCATGCTAATCCCTGAGTCTCCAAAATATCTTTATGAGAAAAAGAGATGGAAAGAGCTTAGAGAAGTTATCTCTTCCATTGCCAATTTCAACAATGTCAAAATGGACGAGACATATCTCATCAAAGAAGAGGAGAAAGGCAAATCTGATACTCAAAGACTTCTGACTGAGAGTACCTTGACTCATCTTATACCATAGGCCCAGTTGAATCAGCACAGCTAAATCTAGAAGCTAGTCAAAAGCAAAAGGTATCAGCTTTGTTATTACGATCTGAAACAATAAGAATTAATTACACTCTTTGGAGCTTTGAGTTTAGATGATAAAATAAGTTATATTCAAAATCCAATTTTATACATATTTTGCTACTCATTCTGTACTTGCTTTAGCCCATCTTCAATGAGTTTACATTTTCTTTAAGATTATTTCGTCAATTGTATTGAGTTTACAAACTTAAGTTTACAAAATGTAAATATAACTGATAAAGCAAAAGGGACTTTTTCTCTTTTGAGAGTCAAAAATATCTATTTGGCATTAATTTGGATTTCAACTTAGATTAATGAATTAAAGATAGACAAATCATTAAGGATTCTCATTTCTGTTTTGCATAAAAGCAATCTTTTGCTGAAAATTACTTTTCTTGTAAAAACTCTTTAAATTATCTTGTATTGAAGCAAGTGCTAGAATTTTCTAAAGAACCTTCCATTTATTTTTTGTTTTATATTCATAGCTCTAATCTCCTTTAGATTCAATCAAAAGAAGCACAGGGAAATGAATTTTCAGTGATCAACGAACTTAAGAATGCAAGGACTCTGATCAACTTCATCTGAGTGGCCAGTTTGTTCTGCATTGGCTCCTTCACCTATCAACTGTTAGGGTTCTACCTTAAATATGCAGGAGGAGATATCTATGTCAACACCTTAGTAGCTTGCATCTCAGAGACACTTGGGAACTTTTCAGTCAGTTTCGTTCAAAGAGCGTTTGGCACAAAGCTAGCTTTCTTGTCATTCTTCATAATCGTGCTGATTTTCCCATTACCACTATTAGTGACCACAGATGCTGCCATTGTCGCCATTTCGATCTTTGGATGCAGGTTCTTCTTAGTGGGAATTTTCACAATGTGCTATTTTGCAAATTCACAGTATTTCCCAGCTCTATTTGCTCCATTTGCCTTCTCAGTGTGCTCTATGGTAGCTCACATCTTATCATGATTGGGCCCAGAAGTGGCTGAGATAAAACCAGAAAGTATTCCTGTTTTTGTGTTATTGACTTTAATTATGTCTGGGATTATTATTACTCTTCTGCTTCAGAAACCAACAGAGAAAACTTCAGAGACATTACAAAAGTAGTCTAATTTTGTCAAGATATATTTACATTCCAACTCTTAAATATTCAATCTTTCCTTCCTGGTTTAGCTTAAATATTTTATATTAAAAAGAAAATTTATACTTAAAAAGTAGCTTATAGAGCCACTCCAGAACATGTAAAGGGTTTAATTTCTAAAAAGAGCGATATTTTTAATTAAAAAGGCTGGCTCTCTCTGTTTCAATAAAATATGCACACAATTTAGCTTTACAAAATAGGTTCTCCCATGCAATATTTCATAAAAAATACTCTAAACCAACCTAATTCTACCATACGATTCAGAAAACACTAGCCCTACTTTTGACGACCAGGATACTCTTTAGGTATCTTGAAAATATAAAACAAAACCCTTTTAAATATAATAAATTCTGAGTTTTTACTATAAAAAGTAAAAGGAATACAATTTCAATACCCGCACCTCTCCTGGGGTTTTGGGGTTTTGGGGTTTTGGGG